GATTTTCTCCTTGATTTCGAGTGACTTGGTCCCTCGAATACATGAAATTTTCTGGTAAACAATTTTTTTATACAACAAATATTTTTAGAGATTTTGGGCCACTTTATGTGGACCATTCTGTATATATTCGTGTTAGGTATTATATATATATATATATATATATATATATATATATATATATATATATATATATAAAATATTTATTTATACTAATTTAAAATATTTTTCATATAAGAAAATGTACATTAAAAAAAAACTTTAGCTTTTCATGAAAGCAATTGTTTGCTCTATTGAAATAAAAAAATTTAGATTTAAATAAATCTCTGCTGTTAATATCCATTAAATAAACATTTATTATTTTTTTATATTTTTTCTCTCAGTGCATGAGCGAAATGTGCATGCTATTAATTACAAACTTGCTAGGATATATCTGAACTTCATTAATTAAATGGATCTCATGTCCATTGAAAAAAGTCTATTTTTGGTTTAGGACATTTCTACGAGATTATTTGAAATAGGTATAATTCGATTTACAAAGTATACTTTCGTCTTAGAGGTAAACTCAATTAGACACATAGTTCTGAGAAATAAATTAATATTAACGCGAGGGATCAATATCAACTTTGTAATATTTCTGTACTTTGTTATATTTTTATACTTATATATTTTTAGGTAGCGCATAATAATTAATCGCGTCGTCGAAGTTGCCGGTTGAGCCAAATACGGGCGAGTGGTCGAGCGCTGTATTCGAAAATGCTTCTAAGATATGAAAACTCAAATCAAGTTGCTTGACGGTGGGTAACGGAGGGAGAAAGATAGACAGAGTGTTCTGATTGCGGCTGACAGCGACGTATTTTCTTCGCGTCTCGAGGCGTTACCGGCCGACGAGACATTTCGCCACGTCGCGGGAAGCAAGAGAAAGAGAGAGCGAGTGAAGAGAGAAAAGAGAGAGAGAAAAAAGAGAGAGAGATAGAGAGAGACTCCTACGAGAGAGCGTCATTTGCATTCGCGGCTGCCAGAATGACCCGCTTCCGCGTCGTGAGAGGGACCGCGCGTTTATCGATCAAGTTCCGCCGCTCGTCAAGCTCGCGCGGGGATTGTGATGTAATCCAAGTCGAAGCGGTGGATCGGAGCGGAACAGCCCGGGCTGTTACTAGCCGCGGACAGAAACTATGCGAATATATTGGGAACGGCGAGGACGTGGCGGACGGACGGGAAGAAGAGAGACAGAGAGAAAGAGAAAGAGAGAGAGAGAGAGAGAGAGAGAGAGAGAGAGAGAGAGAGAGAGGGAGAGAGCGGTGGCGGATATCCGAATCCGCGCTGACGGTAATCAACCCCTTAAACAAGGTTATTGAAGACTCGAGAGGCTCCGTCCGGGTGAATTCGAGGCGACTCTAGGGCCACTAGAACCGGATAATGCTCACGTACACTGGCGGTCAGATTACGTGCTATACGGTCCTCGATACTAGAGTTCTACGTCTTTACCAATATCGCGCTATTATTACGCCATACCGTGCCATAGGCGTCGGGTTCTGAGATTGCATTCCGCCCTTGGCACGAGCTGCTTACGCGACACGCCCCCTTAAGGCACATAGATCGCGAACTTGTCTCCACCCGATAATCCTTGTCGCTTAAACCAGAAGCACACGGAAAATGTAAGTAATGACATTTGAGCGATATCAGAAAATTTACCAGCCGATTATCCTTGGCCCGTAATATTGACTGGAAGGAGATTACGATAACTTTGGCGACGTAATATGAATATGTTTTTCAAAAGTATCCTGAATGTAGGAAACAATAATAAAGACTATACGTTGCTATGATTTATTTTTGAGATTTTTACAAGTGTCTATCGCTGATGTTTATTTATAAACAGGAACATGTGGTGCTTTTGTTTATTTTCGTTTGCAATACGCACTATATCGTGCGCAGAGAAAAAATTTTCTAGACAAAATTTTCTAGACAAAAATTACATGGTTTTAGGAGTATTTTGCAACAACAAAACCAGACATTTGAAAATTATGAAATGGTGGGAGTATGTTGACAATCATATTTTTCAAATATCTGATTTTTTCATTGCAAAGTACTCCTAAAACCATTTAATTTTTGTCTAGAAAATTTTTTTCTATCTCTTATACTTTTGACGAGACATGCTCCTAAAGAAAAAAACCGTTTTTTCTTCAGAGATGTTTTTCCCCATAAAAATTCGCCTGGACACGCATAAAAAACTACGTAACTCTTCTTTTGGTCTGAATTACAATATATTTCAAGCTCATCCAAATCAGAGCTAAACAGCTATGTGGGGTTTCTTATTAGACAAGTCTTTTTGTTTAAAGTTTAAATCATAATAATATTAATTCATATATATTTATTCAACAACACAAATATTAATTCAATAGTAATTATTTAAAAAAACTTGCATAGAAAGAATCGTTTAGATCAATGTTAGTGTCACCGTTTACGTTTTTCCATACGCCACTTGCAAGATAGCGAACGAAACGTCGAGCGTCTTTTGATTTTTCGAACACCTCGCTAACTCTCTTGTTACTGTCTTCGCGTCAGATGTCAATTGACAACAATGTGTGTGTGGAAAAGTTTTTTTATTTCTCGCGACGAGCGTCGTCCTGCTTCTCCAGCATCCCTTCGTATAATATATCGCAGAAATTCGGAAGACAGGCGAGCTAATCTTCTCTATTATATTATTTGCACCGGATATTTATTGCACCTAATATTCTAACGGAAGAAATCTTCTCAGTCGCTATTATGCAACAGAAAAAATACATACTGCATTCAAGTAAACGTTACTTGCTGGAATCTCACAAATTTATACAGGGTGTCGCACATCAATTGACACATATTAAAATGGCAGATAGGAGCCAAATTAAAACAAAATGTTCTTTGCTATTTTTTAATAAATCGAGTTAATGAGTTATTAATTAATTAATTAATTTTGATGCTTAGCGTGCTTTCTAATTAACAGAGCACAGGTAGTGCCGCGCGCCGGCAACGCGCGCCGGTTTTGCAACGACAAAACCAGATATTTGAAAATGGTGAAATGGTGGGAGTATGTTGACAATCATATTTTTCAAATATCTGATTTTCTTATTGCAAAGTACTCCTAAAACCATTTAATTTTTGTATAGAAAATTTTTTTCTATCTCTTATACTTTTGACGAAACATGTTCCTAAAGAAAAAAACCGTTTTTTTTTCAAATAGATGTTTTGCCCCATAAAAGTTCGCCTGGATACGCATAAAAAACTACGTGTCTCTTCTTTTGGTCTGAATTACAATATATTTCAATCATCGAAATCATAAGAAATGCAAACCTCCGCCTTTCAGACAAGCTTTGTTATTCTCGATTAGTACTCCTCCTTTCACTTATCATAATAGTGAAGCTAGCCTAAGTGGCAGAGGTTTCTTTGGCGTGTGGCATTATCTGTATTCCGCTAATTAATGCGTGCTAGGCGTCAAAATTAATAAATGAATAGATCGTTAACTATTACTTGTATTAAAAAGTGGCACAGAACTTTCTTGTCTCAATTTGACTTCTATTATCTGCCATTTCAATATTTCAATATTAATGTGCGACATCCCGAGCAAAAATATATCAAGTAGAGCAGATTTCAAGACTAGTAGCTAGATAGTAACGACTAAATAAGTTCTCTAGCCAGTCACTAGCTCGTGATTGGCTAAATATTCCTACTCAATCTTTTAAATGTCAGGACTATCTAGTAACTATATCAATTACATAGATGGTGGCTAGATGAAAAAGATTACACAGTAATGAGATAGAAAATCATCGGTAAATCCTGAATAGAAATTGGATATCAGAACTGTCTAGTAACTTTACCAATTATAGTTATAAGTTATTGTTTTGTATCTAGCTACTAGATAATTTTTCTGGTACAGCCACTAGGAGAAGTGAGCGTTATATTTCTAGCTAGTAGCGATGTAAGATCCAACGTTTCTATGTCATTACTAGATAATCATTAGATTCAATTTTTGCTCGGGACTCTGTTCATCCACATATTTACCACAAGTTTATCGTATAAGAACATCAAATTTATTAAAAATGCATTCTAAATCCTAAGCTTAACACTTGAATCAAGAATATTAAATTAAAAACTCAGTTTGCTCATTACAAGAGTCAAAGAAAAATTTTCCTCGATACAGTTCTATAATATATAGCGTATATAATATAATATTCTTATAAATAATATAACCTGTAAAACATCTTGTAAAGAAAATAAATTCATCTTCGACTATATGATAACGCGCTTGTCCGAAATTTGTGATGAATATATTTGAAGACCACTATCAAGAGAGAGAAAATATTTTTTATCGAAGATAACCATTACTTCAAAGAAGAAACGAGTACTATTTCTCTGTGTGAACTATTATTAATATTATACTATTCAAGACGTCTACGTCGCGAAACTCGAGAATATTCGTGACAACGATTTCGCCGCCGGCGAGAATTCATCCATCGTGCTCGATTCTCACGCGGTCGCTTGATTAATTCGCGGCACCGCCGGCGCCAATGGTCGAGATCACGATCGCTCCCGAAAGCAGCTCTCGCTCGGAGGTCTCGAATGAGGGTAGAGAGAGAGAGAGAGAGAGAGAGAGAGAGAGAGAGAGAGAGAGAGAGAGAGAGAGAGAGAGAGAG